AGGAAGCAGCAAAGCAAGCAGCCCGTCTCCCTGCCTCACTTTCACCAAAGCCCGAGGAAGCCATCTGAGGGATCGTCTGTCTCAGAGACCAAAGAGCAATCTCAAACCCCTGCTTTAAAGCACAGTGTGACAGAGAGAAAACAGCTCTCGTTGGGACCAAGGGGCACACTGGTGAAAGTGCCCAGCAGCTACCTGAAAGGTTGACGGTGTGAACGCACCAGCCACTTGGCAGGAGAAAGATGTGGCAGTCCGCTTCTGAAAGTTGACAGCCTTGGAAAACCTACAGCTGCTGGAAGTCAAACTGACTCAATGACCATCGGTTCGGTTGTTTTTGGTTTTCGTGGTAAATAATGTTCTCCTTAAGGGAGTCTAAAATGACTAAAATTACAAGTGACAAGCCACTTGCCATCTAAAGGCAACTCCGAAAAACTAAAAAAGTGGGACTTTGAGTGCTATGAAGCACATCTTTATCTTTGTACGAGAAAACAGTCATACATGCAAATAAATTCTTAGACTGAGCACTGCTTACAAGGAAAGAAATATTTTCAAGGTTTTTGACAACCTGTCAACTTTTCCCAGCTTGCAGGTGCCTGCCTGAAACCCAGGTGAGCACACATGTCCGTGGTTCCTTGCTAACTGGGAGGGTCGTTAATGACATGGATTGGTAAGACAAACAAGACAACAAAAACCCACAGCAGGCAGGTTCTAGAAAGAGAAGAGCACAGGAGACACACGTTGCTGGTCTTACCTGTAAAATCTGGGAAACCAGAAAAGCTTTCATCACCCATGTGGCAGGCTTCCATCAGACTACTGAAGAGAGTGCCGACGGGGTCCAAAGGGTGCCCGACCCAGCCTTCCAGGTTGGTGACTGAGGTGATGCTTTTATGGGGTAGTTCTGTGAAGCAATGATTGGAACGATGAGAAGAGTGGAGAAGGGAGAAAAGAAGCATGAACATTTATTCAAAAATGAACTACAATTAGTTGCAAATTCCTCTTTAATTAAAGGTGCAAAACCAAAAAGGCATACTTGATTCCCAGTTTATGAACTGTTGGAACTCTAAAAGCACACTCTTAAGTCAGTATAAACAGTTCGAAACTCCCAGTAGAGCTCACAAACATTCATTTCCTTCTGGTGTCCAGGGTACTGAGCTAACATTCACCCTACCCGACCAGAACCCTTTAGTGTGGGGCAAAGTGCATTGCAAGATTTGACCTGAGAAGCCAGGGGCAAGTCTCCCTCTCCCCTAGGAGTGGGTGGCATTAGGGAAAAGGAAGGCCTGTCAAGTGGATAACTCTACAACTACATTAAGAAAATGTCTCTCAGAGGTCTCCGTGAGACAGGATTACTCACTGGGCCATCTAAATTGAGGAACCGGGGTCAGCTGTAGCCTGAGTTAGACTAGGACTCCCGAATGAAGATCATTAAATCACCCCCCTATCAACTTACAAAATCTTCCTTAATGTGGACCAGTAAGCCATCTCAGAGAAGACCTTTGCCACAAAGAGAAATGAGAGCAGGGAGGGAAGTGGACAATTTGAATGGAATGTATTCATTTCCTTCACAGAATGGTAGCACTTTGAAGTTCTTAAGTTAAACTACTTAATGTTTTAAGATTCGTTCCATTGCTGTAAATAATGCAATATCTTATATCTAAGTGCTTACTAAAGTAATAAATAAGTAATAGTAGCTCCTTCTTAAAGGAAATATGATATCCATATGCACTATAAAAGATACAAAGAAAGAAGGCTTATAAATAGCTTGAGAGTCATTCCATGAATCAAAGGGACCTTCAGAAATCTTCCAATTTTGAACTACCAACTATCAGTACATAAAAATGAGACCTGGCCTGGTACAATGTATTCATATTTATGTAAGTTGGAGTCTTGGATTACTTGGAAAGAACCTTCTTCTTAAGTTTCTGTCACTACCTTTCATATGAGCGGTCTTCTAACAGTTTACGGAACTTAAAAAAAAGCTGTATGTGGATTTTAAAAACTGCGTTGCACCCAAATAAGCTCGTACTAACTTACTATGCCATGTGAGGTAGTTTATTGTGCCAACCTGGCCAATAAACACATGTGGGCTTAATTGAAGGGCAGAGGGACAAATGGCTCCATGAGCCTCGCCTTTCTAGTTCTCGGGTCTCTTGCTATCTGATGGTCAGACCAGGGTGCAGCTGCCTTAGCCAGTTAGTTCCCTGCTTTAGCTGGCAAGGCTCACCTCCTGCAAGAGATCCCTGAGGAGAGAAGCCACAGGGATCTACTCCAATGCAGCCCTGGGTGCTGGAGCAACCGTGTGGAGACCCCTGCCAGCACTGAAATGTTTACACATTCACTGACTCGGCTTTCTCCTGCAGTCAGCATCATTGCGTGTGTTTTGTGCGATGGAGGAGGACTTTGTGGATTGGTATTGGACATATGGGTTAATGAGTTAATGTTGGACTTGTGGGCTTGGGCAGCACTGGGTTGGGATGTTTTCTTGATGCGCACTTAACCTTTATACAAAACTCTCTCTTATATATGAGTTTCTGTGGATTTGTTTCTCCAAAGTACCAAGACTAACACACCATGTTTGGACTGATTCTTGGTCGAGGCACCAAGTAGGCTAAGATATCAGTGTATAAAGAGCCCAGCAGGGCAACAAGTGAATTCTGTTAGAATTGACGTAAGAATAGACATCCAATTGATGGCAACGCTTGGGTGAAAGAATAGTGAGATCACTAATGCTTTATGAAAAGGTTATGGGGACAATGCCCCAACGAGATCAGTCATTTAGAAATGGATGGCTTGTTTTCAAGAAGGGACAAAATGATGTTCAAGATGAAGCCTGCAGTGGCAAAGCATCTGCATCAACTTTGGAGTAAGCTATTAATCCTAATAGAAGAGGACTGATGATTAACAGCAGAAATAAAAGCCACCCCCGAAGCACCCCAACTGGTTCAGCTTTCACAATTGCGAATAAAGATTAAAGTTGAACAAGTTTCTGCGTGGTGGCGGCTGAGAATCAGTTGCAGGCAAGAGCAGTAGAGCTGTCAATGGACATTCTAAACAAGTGGGATCAAGATCCTGAAGCATTTCTTCAAAGCAATGTAACTGGAGATGTAACATGACTTGGCCGGTATAGTCCTGAAGACAAAGCGCAGCAAAGCAAGGCCTACCAGGAGGTGGAAGGGGTTCAGTCACAGCGAAACTGCGAGTCAAGAGCGAAAGGGTCCCCTGGATGCTCAAGGAAGTCTGCTTCCTGACCTTCTGAAGGCCAAGGAATGGTATCATTGCTTGTTAGGAAGTGTTTTCAGAAAATGTGCCAAAGCTTTAGCAGAAAAACACCCGGGTAAGTTTCACCGGAGAGTCCCTTTCCACCAGGACACTGCTCCACATTCATTCCTCTCATCAAACATGGGCAATTTTGGCAGAGTTTCGGTGGGAAATCATTAAGCATTCAACTTGCTGCCCTGGCTAGGCTCCTCTGGCATTTTTATTGCATAATCTTAAAACATATTTAAAGGGCACCCATTTTTTTTTCAGTTACTAACATAAAAAAGACTGAATTTGCAGGTTAAATTCCCAGAACCCTCAACCCTATAAGAATGAACAAAATGGCTGGTGATCATTGTGTCTTGAACTTGATGAGACTTATGTTGAAAAATAAAGTTTACATATTTTAATTTTTAACTTTTCATTTCACTTTAAACCTCCTTGTTTATTTAACCAGTATGAGAAGAAACAATCGGTTTACTCTTACGCACAACCAGATTTATATATGATAAGGGAAGCACTGTGTCTGTATAAGTTCAAACTCCTGTTGATTGATCGACACTGTGTATAAAATGCCACATAGTGCCCCTTCTTTATGGCTCTAATTTAAAAACATAAGTGAGAAAACAGAAATAAAATAAATTAATGAAAAAGGAAAATTGTTTTATGAATGGACCAGGAACCGGACATAGTAAGCCAAGCTGAATGAAAATGTAGAAGACATTTTGTCAACTATTTTTGAAACATGATTATAACAACTACGGAAGCCTATTCTGTAAATGTGAGTATAGCTAGTGTAATCTCAACAATATGATAATCTAAAATAAACTTTCACAGCAGGTAGGGAGAAAGAGAAATGGGTCTGAGAATGGCCTCGACCTGGGATACAGAAATATCTCAAAGACAGTAAAATCCACAACAGTTGAAAAAATACACACATATATACTGACATATATAGAAGGATCAAGGAAGTACATGGATTAATCAGAAAAAACATATTCATTTTTCTTATACGGGCATTATGCATGGAATATAAACCTTAGCAATCACCAAAACCCAAACCCAAACTTGCTGTGTTTGGGTCAGTGCTGACTCAAAGAGCCCCCTGTGGGCTCCTGAGACTTTAACTCTTTACAGGAGTTGAAAACCCAGTCTTTCTCCCACAGACAAAGAATTTTCTTCCTCGGAGAGGCCGGTGGTTTTGAACTGCCAACCATGCGGACTGCAGCCCAACGTGTAACCACTATGCTACCAGGGCTCCTTTAGCAACCACAGAGGTATGTAAAAAAGTTTTAAAGCCTTTATTAAACAAAAATACCAAAATGTGAAAGTGTTTCCATCTAAATGATCTCCTCTTCATTAAGCTGGAACATGCAGAGGACATCACCGGGCACACTGACAATGAAGGTGCCTTAAAGCCCTTGAATGAAAAACAAGAGACTTCAATATGGATTCCACCTCAATACAAAGAAAGCCCAAATCCTCACAACTGGACCAATAAGCAACATCATGATGCATGAAGACAAGATGGAAACTGTCAAGGATTTAGTTTTACATACACACAATCAATGCCCATGGAAGCAGGAGTCATGAAATCAAATGACATATTG